AAGGAAACAAAACAGGTGGTGGGACCCTCCCCTGGCCTTCCCCCTCTCCCCCTGCTCTGGGCTCCCAGGTCCATACATCTTCACCTTCTCTCTCTGATTATATTTTCAAAGTATATTTGTATAGCTGTAAGAAGTGCAGAAATAACATCCATTCTAAATTCTGGTTCAAATATGTATTAGAAACAGATTAGGCAAGGAAATCACCTGAACTGGCTCAGGACTTTATTATCAATTTGTAAGAAATCATGTGGTACCCCTTCCTTAATTTGGATAAGCCAGGGGTTTCTCTTTGTCAAATTCTCAAGTGTATAATCAGAATGGATTTGAATAAATGTTGGAAAAGCAAATTGTATCAATGATTCCTGGCTATTAGTGTTCCCTGTGATGCCAAAAAAAGTGTCACAGTGGTTAGAGCCTGGCTTTTGGTGTCACTCACATCTACTTGGCTTAACACTTGGATGAGATATTTAATTTACCTAAGTTTGTTTTCTCACAGGCAGAAAGGAAGGAAGGAAGGAAGGAAGGAAGGAAGGAAGGAAGGAAGGAAGGAAGGAAGGAAGGAAGGAAGGAAGGAAGGAAGGGAGGGAGCCTAGAAGATTAATTATCTTATAAGAATGTTGTGAGGTTAAACCATATACACACAAACAGCTTACAGAGGCTGGGCCTTGGAGGCATTCATATTTTCAATATCTAAATTTGGCAAGGTTCATGGACTATAAACAGAAGAATATGGTATTTATGCAGATAGGAAATATACTTATCCTAAAAGAAGCAATTGTGGTTTGCCATACGATGCAAAAGTGGAAAAGTCAAGGAAATACTCAAGGAAATAAGCTGTTTACTGTCCATTCAGTGATTCCCCAAAGCAATTTCTCTAATGCAACTTCAAAGGAGAAACCAGGAAATCTAGTCTTGGTCACATTAGCTGGAGATGTGTGGGTATGTGTTATTTTGTGAAGTACCTATTCCCATTTCAAATTAGGGGAGTTTACTCATCCTGCTTTGTTTTAGTTACTGGCTGAGTGCTCTCACCCTGTCTTCCACCCATTTCCAATCACTAAAGCCTTCCCACTGTTTCCTCTGAAATTCAGAACTAGTCATTTAGCAAAATCTCCCATTAGACTCCATCTTTTCTCAGAATATTCCACTCACATCTTGATCTATGAAAAACCTGACTCTGTCCAATGAACACCACCACTTTCCCTGGAAGCCTCTCAGGCAGGTAGAAATCCCTCTCTTTTCCACACATCTTGTACTCCTGGGACTGGAAATGGGATAGGTGGCCTCTGTTTTCCCTCACTGCTTCTTAGATGCCTCCTGCATGCTATGTCATTTCATCAGGTGATAGTTACAACTACCGCCCCTTCATCTCCCAACTCCTAGGTTACCCCCTTCATGTTTTGAAGATTTTACCTCCTAAATGTCACATCCTCACAATACGAGTTCTAACATAGTTGTCTGTTTCAATATCCACACAGATGATTCTCTAATACTTTACACCTGGGCTTCCACCAGCCTCTACATCTTTGTGCAAATAAGAAAAAGCAACATTTCCTCCAAGGAGAGCCAGCTGAGCTCCCATAGCACTAGGCTGAGCAAAGAGAAGGCTGCTGAATTTCAGCCACTGATGATGGTGCCTTCAGTCAGGGCACTATGAAGAGGGCACACACTGCCTAACCATTCATGACAGCCTTAAACCTAGCTCCCTTCCTTCTTTCCTCTCATCTCGGACACAAATTCCATAGGATCACCCTAACCTCAATTTTGTGCATTCCACTCACATCACCTGTTCTTCTAACTCATTTTCTTTAGAACACCAAATCAAACAATCCTATAAGGCCAATCTCTTCATCCATTTAATAGGTCCCATTGCCTCTCATCTAATCAAGCAGAGGGCCACAGGTCACCTTCCTCATTATCAAATTCTCCTCCTCAACTGGATTTTCCTCATCCTCATCCAGTTGAGGATATCAACTCAATATCCTCATTACCTTGAATAAATAGAATTATTCTAATTTTTATCTCTCATATTAAAAATCTTTCTTTTTTTAATTAATTAAATTATTTTGAGAGAGAGAATCCCAGCAGGCTCTCCACTGTGGGCTCACAGTCACAAACTATGAGGTCATGACCTGAGCTGAAACCAAGAGCCAGACACTCAACTGACTGAGCCACTCAGGTGCCCCAAAACAACTTTCTTTTGACTCCACTTTCCCGTTTAGTCATTTTCCCATTTCACTCTTTTATCTCAAAAACACTTGAAAGGATCATCTACTTTTGGGGTCTCCAATTTCTGTCCTCCTATGCTCTTGAACCCACTCCACGCAGGCTTGTGGTCTCAGCACTAGACAGAAACTGTCACTGCCAACTTCATTAATAACCTCACAAAGTTAAATCCAATGGTTATTCTCAGTCTTCATTATAAGCTGATCGATCAAAAGCATTTGGCACATTTAAGGTGCTTCCTCCCCAGAAAGACACACTTTCTTCACTTGGTTTCCAGGACAGACAACATGTTCTCCTATCCATTTATCTTCTGTCTCATTTGTTGTAATTATTTTCTATAATGTCTCCAAGTTCTTAAAATTCAAGTACCCTTGAGCTCAGTCACTGGGCTTTTTCTCTTTTCTATCTCCCTTCAGTTCTTTGGTGATCTCATCCGTTTCTTACCTTTAAATATCATCTAAAACTGACCACTTTTACATGTGTATATCCAGCAAGGTCTTTGCCGTGAATTCAAGACTGATGAATCCAATTATATACACATCCACCTGGGTGTTGAAAATGAAGGACATACTTAATATGTTCAAAATTGAGCTCCCAATCAATAACTTTCTGTCTCCTAAACTAATTCTTTTGCAGATTTTCTATCTAAGTTAAAGATAATGCTAATTCTTCTACCTTCTCACACTCACACTGGGGGTTATCTCCAACTTCTTTTTTATTTCAGAACCATACTAATTTTAGTAGCTCCTGTTGGATCTAGCTCCATGTATATCCTGAATCCAATCTTTTCAGCATATCCACTGCTACTCTTTTTATTCAAACACCATCACCTCTTACTAGATCACAGAAAGAGCTTTCTAACTGGTTTCCAGTTTTGTCCTTGTTCCCCTATATATATTTTTTTGTAATTAGTGCTCCTGCTATACTTTAGCTTCTGCTAAAATATATATGATGTCATTGTCTCTCTGGCTCAAAACTCTACAAGATTTTGAACATCTCCCTCAAAGCAAAAGGAAAGATCAAGACACTATAATATCTGGCCCCATAACTTCTCTAACTTCATGTCTTTATCATCCTCTCCCTTGCTCACCCTGGCCTCCAACCACACGAGGCTCCTGATGTTTTTGCAACATACCAGGAACTCTCCTGCTTCAAGGCTTTTATAATCGCTGCTTCTTCACCTAGAACTCTTTGCCCTTAAATACCTGCTCCCTTATTCCCCTCAGATATTTCTCAAATATACCCCTTTCTCTGACTATTATCTCATTGCTTTTTTCCCCTATCACTTTTTTGGCACTGAAGAAGCTATACATTTTATATATTTATTTTGCTTAATGTCTCTCTACCAATCTAAGATCCAAGAGTGGTCTCTTTTTGTTCCTGTTTTTACTGCTGTAACTGCAGTGTTGAAAACAATACAGAGCACATAGAAGCTCAATAGTTAGAGAGAGAAAGAGAGAGAGAGAGAGAATGAGAATGAACACAAGTGTTCACTGAAGCCGGTAGTGCAACAAAAAGGATACCCCAATAAGATTCCCCTTCATCTTTCTGAAGGAGAATAGTTTGCTCTACTTAGCAGCCCTTCCAGAAAGCCAGAAATTGTTGTGTATCTCTGCCTTGTTCTCTCTGTAACCATAAGGCCCTGTCAAAATTCACAGTACTACCACAACAATGGTGTGTGGTTGAGTTTTCAAAAGGTGTAAGAATAGGGACCTCAAATTCAGCGAGAGTTGGCTTTAAAAAAAAAAAAGTCCACAAAGCTAACTTCAGCCCTTTTACTAAGAATCTGTGCTTCCTACTTTAATTCACAACCTCTGTTGCAGATCAGATAGGCACTGAGGCAAAATCAGTCTCTTGGGGACTATCAGAAAGCATACCAGCTTACACGGCAGGAGTGTCCAGTCAGAATACAAAGGGACTCCTATGGCCATTAATAAAATGAATGGCTTTGGGCTATTACTGAAACACGATATTTCTGCAAGGATCCTTTAAGATTTGTTTGTTTAAAGATAATTTACTGATTTCTATGAGTCCACCAACAGAGGCTTTAATGACACAGTCTTCCTCCCGAATCATGATCTGGGTCCACTTTGTGGGACTAGTGCGTAGGGTAGGAAAAAGTACAGCAGCATTTGTGGAACAAAGATTTGCTTAAACTCCTGCACAGGAATTATATACACTAATGGAATCCTAATGCACATGTCCTGAGAAAGATAAAAATGAATTAATATGGGCAGAATTCAAAGGCAGAAAATGCTCCCTTAGAATTCTGGAAGGTCGCTCACTTTTCAAAAGTGTTTCACAAGAACATAACTTATTTGGCCCTTATTTCATTGTAAGGAATATTAACACTGGGCTTAATTTATTAAGGACAAACAAAGCTATCATAAAACTACTTGTGATCACAGGAAAAAGAAACACAGTCAGAGACAAAACATTAGCATTCTCTCTCTCACATAAGAATAAAACCACTGGATATACCCAGCAACACTCTCACCTTACAGGACAAATATACTAATAGCACTTGAGAATATTATCCAGAAATGTCCATGCTTTAAAAAATAAATAGAACAAAAAGCAAATAAATGCATACTTTTCTTAGGTGATAATCATCTGAATCAAAATTACTTGCTTGATGATGACTCTAAGTAGGTGGTAAAAACTTAGAGAAGAAATTGTGTCTATAACGGTCAGTAATTAAATCAGTGAATTACTGGAATTCTATATAACTTCTAACAGAATAAGGCTTATATCTTGAAGTTCATCACACTTACCTCCATTTCCTTCTCCACTGGCATTGGCCTCTGCCATTTCTGTGCCATCCAGTTCAGACTCACAGCCTAAATCCAACGTTCCATCAGCTGGGCATGACGACCCCTCTTTCTATATTATTTTGAAAAAAAAATGATGATTTATGGAGATGTACTGGCAATTGAAAACATTTAAAATACTTTCAGAGTCCTCAAGTATTACCACTGTTACTTATGACTTGGAATTTCAACAGATTTACTTCTTAATGTAAAATCACTCCTTCAAAAACAAACCAAAAAAAAACTGGGAAAAGCACATTGCCCCAGATGATTTTTTTTAGATAACCTTTTAAAATTTATACAAAAGTGACATATGTTGTTTCCTTTTTTTTCAATTCTATGTTCTTCCTTATATTAGAAAATGGTTTAACAACTTGGAATTTCACCAGTACGTTAAATACCCAGGTAGCTACAAAAGGCAACTGAAATAATACAAGTCTTTCTGATTAACCGGTGTTATTTTCTGAAACACACACAGTGATGAGGGCCTAATGCTTAACAGCTGAGAAAGAACCCCTGCTTCTTTGCCATGTATAACTTTTAGCATTAAAAACTGTCTTCTCAAAGGAAATTAATGACCTTTAAATGTAATCCATTATTTATTAAAACAGTGACTTATTTTTAAAATATAAGAAAAATGCACTGATTTATTGTTCAAGTTACACAACCATTGGTAGGCCATCAGCTTTTATCCTCCGGAATTTTGTTATCTTAGATAGCATTTCTCATTCTAATTGGGAAGGAGATTACACTGAAATAATCAAGACTCATTATCTGAGTCTTTTTATGTCATTTTTATGCCATTTCTCTATTCTTCTCACGAAACAAGTATGCATTATTTAAAACTCCCTTGATATCACTGCTGTTTTAAAACTGAATGATTATTTTAAATCATCAACTTTTCAAGAAGGAGGGATAAACTTATTTTATAAAAGACAGAAAGGCACACAGGTGTTAAGCCTGTATATCAACTGATGGTCGTTAAGTCAAATAGTTTAAGGCAACTGTGAGCATCCTAAGCTCTTGGCTGATGAGTTGTGGCACTCCTCCATGTAAATTTTTAAAAATCAAGAATTTTAAGGAAGCCACAACTATTTTCCGTGACCATATGTTAGACTGAAACCACAGATATGCTTTCCTTGAAGAAACATGTCATTGTTTATTCTTAATATGAAATCACTTTTAAGACATCTGAAAACATTTAAAAGGCACAGGGGTCATTTTTCTACCCTTCACCCAAATCTAATTTTGTTTACCTTCACATGTCTGAAAACATGCATGATACACAGTAATAACAGACACAATATGCAGAACAATCCAACTTACTTTGAGAGCATAGAGGCCTGACTTTCCAGGGATTTTGAAGAATGTTCCATCCCCTATTCGAGTGTTAGTGTGAAGCATTGCATTCAGACAGGCTAATGGAGAAGTTCCACTAGAAAATAAAAATGTGCAAAAATGAAGCAGTCTGAGATGCAGTTTCTGTGGCAAAACTGTTCTCAGTCTCTCTCTCTCTCTCTCTCAAAAAAAAAAAAAAGACCATCTCACATGCCTTTTTAAAATATCCTCCCAACCCCGAAAACATCTACATTACAATAACAGGCCAGTCCAGTTTTGCCAAAGTTAATCAGATGCATCTGTCTTATAGGCTTCAGGCAAAAAGTCTCCTGAATTGAAATTATGCTTTTATTCATAAAGCAACCAACACTCTATTTCAAAGAAACCAAAGCCCAAACGTTTATGTGCCGTTATTTTACAAATAATACCATGAAGCCTCAGTTTTTAAATATTACAGACAACTTGATGGTTGCACTTGAATGATCAAATAAACCAAGTTCAAGGACAGCTCCATCCTATAGGTTGAAAAGCAACAAAAGAATAATAAGAAACCAGGGAAGAACTGATTTGAAATTACAAGTATTTAAGTTACTCACAGGACTGCATTTCTCACACAGCCAAATAAAAATGTATATCTGGGTTTATACCTCTGATACAGCTTCTACAATGACATCCGTTGCTCAGCTTTGTCAATTAAAAAAAACTACGTGTTTGGGAATTCTACCCAGTTAATAATTATATTCTGTAGTAAAGATGCAAGTGATTGAATTATGAAGACAGATTTTTTAAAGAAATCAAGCAGAATTAAACTAATAATTAAATATATCAACGCACATATGAACAAACAATGAAACGTATTCATTATACTTAGAGGTTTGTGAAATGTGTACGTATGTATTTTCTGGAGACTTTAGAACTTCTGTTTTTTATTTGCAAACTAATATTTTTGCAAACTAGAAGTTAGAGCTAGCATTATTACTTTCATTTACTAATGTTTCCACATTTATTTTACTTCCTAATACACTAAAAGATCAATATTTGTTTGAACCAGTATTGATTAGAAGCCCTACTCCATCCCATTTGTGTCATAGGGGTTCTGGGTATTTAATCCAAAATATTCTCAGATAAGAGAACCTCTAGGATATTAAGGTTTTAAAGTTTTAATTTCTATGACAGGAACATAATTTTATGTTAATAAATTTAAAGTTTCTAAAAACAAAGATTATGCAATCTCTTTCCTACTATGAAAACTCACCAAAAACTAAAAGGCCAAATTTGCCAAGTTGCCACAGCATGTATGTGTATGTATATATGTGTATATATTGCATATATTATATATGTTGTACACACTACATATATTGCATATATACACATCATGGTCATAAAGGTTTATGAGAATTACAGTAAGAACAACACTATTATTTTAGGAAGCAGCTTCTCTATGCCAACATGTCAGTATGATCCTATTGGATATGATAGGAAGCAAGATCTCTAACATAAATTTGTTCATAGAACAATGCAGTGATAACACTGTGTAATTCTACTGTGTGCGTTTATGTAATATCTTTCCTTGTGAAGCTTCTCCAAGTCTATAGACCTCATTTCATTATTTTTCCTCACAATAGATTTTTTGCTCCTATCTCAAGTGGGCCAGGCATACCTTATACAATAAAATGTATTCATCTCTCCCAGAAAAATCTTCGTTCATGAACATATTCCAGATAAATAATGCCGTACATGTTATACTGAACACTCCAAAATACCTATTTTTGTCATTTTCTCTTCAGATAAAAACACAGACAAATTGAAGCTGGGATATTATTATGCCAGATTTGTGGAGTTTTAATTTAGTGAAACTGTCAGAAACACAGACTTTCTGTAGGGACTTGGCAAGAAAGCGTTAACACTACAAGTAAAATAGGATCCAATACATAGAAATGAAAAAAAATGTAGACTTTTAAAAATATAACAATAAAATTGTCCACCTAACATCAAACCTCACACATTCTTCTTGCTTTTTCCTAAAGGCCTAACACAGATTTAGAATATGAAAGAATAATACAAATTTAAAGACAAAAAGTGCTACACAAATGCAATTTAACATCACTATAATTTACATTTTAAGGTGCAGTAAATGAAAAGATAATTGTAGAAGATAAATTCACTATTAAGTAGCAGTTTAATGCTATGCTTGCTGCAAATGTAAGTGATAAGCACCCAGATTCATATAAATAATAAGCTCTGTGGAGCATGAATATATTATTAAATTATACTGTTTATTAATTCCATGAACTAAAGATTTACTATGGAAATATTTAAAAATATGTACTTGACAATCACATGACAGTATGTCACCAAGTCTCAATGACTACCATCATTCTCCCAAATCATTCCCAAAATAAACATACGAAATCTGTTTTATTTCAAAAGTAAATAACATTTACATTTTAGAAGAATTAAAAAATATTTTGCAATGAAATGCAAATTTTTCAACTCAAATCACTGACTGATTAGTCACTTAGTTGTTAAGCATATCACCTGCATTTCTTTACAGAAAAAAACCTAATTATATGGTCTATTTTATTTAAAAATAATAACACATTAGCATCAGCTGTTTCATCCAGTGCAGAATAGACAAAGGGAAATGAATTTTTAAAAAATTCATCATACCATTTATTTATTTATTGCTATTAGCCTCAACAACCCCATACAGTCTAGAAAATTTGGATTGCTTTCCCTGAAAAAAATGAATGTCTTAACCAACTATTATCAACTAGTAGTAAATAAGTGTCTCACTTATATATTTTTGTTATTTCCGTATTCAAAAAAATAAACCTAGCAAGCATGCTTTGGCCTGCTTTCAGGAAAATATATTTATATTCATACATATTTAAATATATTTATATATGTTTATGTATGAATATATGTTACAATGATTTACCGTGTGTATGAAAGAACATAAGGCAAATATATGTTAAAAGTGTATTCTCAGATAGCAAGAACACCTTCTATGTAGCATTTCATATTTATAATTAATAAAAAAATACACATTACATTCACAGTTAAGGCAAGGGTTAATTACCTCAGTTGGAATCTTAAAAGTTAAAAATTCTATAATAAAATATGCATGTGTATATATGTAGATCTGAAATAACAAAACATCAACATTTTAACAACAACAAAAAAAACACCTCTGAACTTTCAAAGGTTACTTACTTTCTAAAAAGATGAGTTGGAAGAATCACAATATCCCGAATTATAAAAGGAAAACCATGAAAAAAGAAAGAAAAGAAAGTTAGTTTTCCAACTTAAAATGCAATTCTGCATCTTACCATTTCAATAAACAGGGCAATATACAAGAAACAAACCAAACTTATAGTTTTGTTTGCCAAAGGTGGAGGAAAAAACTGGGGAGCTGGGGTAAAATGTGACTCGTACTTTCTTCCCTAATGCCTCCACAACATTTTCATTCTATCCACAATGCACATGTATTTCTATATCATAAATATAATTAGAAATAAACAAGAAGGACAATATTTGTATCCAATTCTTTTCTTCTGCCATTCCCTTTAATAGGACCCTTTCCTATACACCTGCCAGGGTAGATATACAACTTATTCTACTTGTTTGTTTTTCTCCCTAGACTGTAGGGTTGTGGAACCCTTCTGGTTTGTTTTCATTTCCCACAACCCCTGAAGCAGAACAGGGGTGGAATTTGGAGGCAGGGGAGCAGGCATAATTTAAACTGTCTAGACATCAAAGAACCCCCAGAGATGCTTTGCAGAGCCCTGGTGCTGTGTGAGCTACAGAAAAATCATTGCTTTATCACATCAAATTGCTGACAGAACACATAAAATTTCACTAATAGTGCAAACTTAGTGAAGGGAATGGATGCCCCATTTTAATAATTTTAAAAACTACCAAAAAAAAAAAAAACCCACGCAGAGAATACAATTGGGAGAATATTTATGGATATGACAAAGAAAATATCAAAATTGTGGTTCTCCATTTCTTTACATATAAAATAATAATGCTATACAATATTTAAGTAACCCAACTGTTAAGCTACTTTATTTTACTAAGTATCTCTTAAAAATTTCAGATGAAAGCTATTGCCAAAAAACATTTGTAATCTGATTTTTCAAATATGGGAGCATCAAAAAATTAATCTTGAACCACATAAGTCTAAAAACTCAACAAATTCAAGCAGCTGTTAACAGCATTTATTGTGTTATTAACAGTTATGTGCTAAGTGTTATTAATATAAATTAATAGAAACAATTATATGTTCTCTCTCCTTTCAAAAAAATTAATAATTGGGGCACCTAGGTGGCTCAGTTGGTTGAGGGTCCAACTTCAGCTCAGGTCATGATCTCACGGTTCCTGGGTTCGAACTCTATGTGGGGCCCTGTGCTGACAGCTCAGAGCCTGGAGCCTCTTTCAGATTCTGTGTCTCCCCCTCTCTCTGCCCCTCCCCTGCTCATGCTTCCTCTCTTGCTCCCTCTCTCTCTTTCAGAAATAAATAAAACACTAAAAAAAATTTTTTTAATTCATAATAGCTCCTTACAAATACTTCCAGTATTGATGGCTTAAAGAAAATACCTTAACTGTAAAGGATACATTTTAAGAGGAAACCATGTGGGGGCTCTGGGGTGCAAGTACTACTTTAGCTCTTGAAACAGGATCTTTGTGCTCACAATGTGAAAATTAAATTGTTTACTTAGAATTTATGCATCTAACTATAGTTATATTTCACAAAAATATTTTAAAATGTTAAAAAAAGAACAGTTCATTTTTGGAAGCGACTATTTATTTACATCTTCAATGGGCAAGTCATTATGAGGGGTGAAGAATAAACAGTAAGGGTGGATGACTCCTTAAAACACAGAGGAACACTGTACATCTGATAAATCAGTAAGCTAGATGATTAAAAAAAAAAAATCCTAGAAAGTCAAGACCAAACTAACTTATTACTCTTGAGAACAATTACCACCAATCTGAAACTCTTGAAAACAAAAACTTAAAAGCTATAAAAAAAAAAAAACAACTTAAAAGCTATATCATTACCTAAATAATCCCAGCACATAAACTGTTAGC